CCAAACTGGTCCAAAACGGACCAAAAGGAAGCCAAACTGGTCCAAAACTGACCCAAACTTGCATACAGAAGACAAAATTCCAGCTTATAAACAACTGGCTGGTGCAAAAACTATGAACTTAAGGGGAGCTTTTTGTTTTTAGGGCCGGAAACTGTTACGTTTTTGTTCCTGTGGACCAGCTCCAGTTCCCAACAACAAAGCGAAGCTCTAAAGTCTTCTGGAAAAGTTGCAGGCGAGCAAATGTGTGAGCACATGCGCTGCTTTAGGTCCGTTTGTGAGATTCAAATCTCCCATTTCCCTGATCCCATTGGGAGCTTTTTGTCTGCTGGCAGAACAAGCCAGCCTCTGTTTTCTGAGAGGCTGTGCACATCTCCTCAAATGCACCTCTGCAATTTGTTTGTTAAATAGCTCTCAAAATTTTCATACCCCCCCTCTCAGTCCCAAGCTTTGGAAAAAGGAAAAGCGGAGTAAAAGATAATGATATTCTGTTTGGGTTTTGTAGAAAATGCAACAGCCAGAGGTATCAAAAACATCTAAAGGGATTTTTTCTTCTAACGTTCGTCTTTATTTATTCATTTTTTCCTGCTCATCTGCATTTTTCTGTTCGTGTATTGAATTAAATATGAAACGAATCTCCTCAGATGAACTGTCTTTTCCAAAACGGACCCGAACTAACCAAAACAGACCTAAACTAGTCCAAAATGGACCCAAACTAACCCAAAACGGATCCAGACTGGTCCAAATGGACCTAAACTGGTCCAAAAGGGACCCAAACTGGTCCAAAACGGACCCAAACTTGTCCAAAACTGACCCGAACTAACCCAAAACGGACCTAAACTGGCCCAAAAGGGACCCAAACTTGTCCAAAACTGACACCAAATTGGTCCAAAAGGGACCTAAACTGGTCCAAAACATCTAATAAGGGATTTTTTCTGCTAACGTTCATCTTTAGTTTTTTTCTTTTCTTCTCATCTGCATTTTTCTGTTTTTTTGCTGAATTAAATATGAAACAAATCTCCTCAGATTAACTGTCTTTTCATATCACAGCCGTTTCTGTGTTTGTTAAAGAGCCTGTTTACGTCTGGAAGATGTTAAAGAAGGAAACTGTTAGCTGAGGCCTGTAAAACATGGAGGGTTAGCTTGTTTTCTTTATCCACAGCTGGATTAGAGAAACACATTTTAGTAAAATCCCATCGGCCACTATTTATTTATTTATTTATTGAACGTATTTTTCTACGAAGATGATTGCGCTTTGTTTCTCCCCAAAAGGTTAAAACTGTTTGAAAACAAGCGTTTGCATGGCTGCCTTCACCTGAATCTAGCAATGCGGCACCTTCCCACAAAGCTGTGCGGAATATTAATGCTTAACTTTGGGCTTTAAATAGGGCTGGTTTGATATGAGAAAAAGTTATATTTACATTTCCCCCCCCCAAAATGTTCGAGTTCAATTTTATATCACGCTATGAACAAAAAACTTTTGAAAATGTTCTGAATTTTTTCTGGAATATTAGAAATGTAATAAAAAAAAAAGATAACTGGACGGTGTTAAATGCTGAAACAAATCGCTGGTTTTTCGTGTTTTAGTAGCTACGTGCTTTCTATGTAGTTTGCACAGTGTATTATTTTATACATATATATATATATATATATATATATATATCGCGATGTGGGTCTCTCCTCCTAAAGTTGGTCACCATCTCCTTGGTCTTTAGACAGAGGTGGTTCTTCTCACACCAGTCCACAGAGTTCATTTAATGCCAAACCTATCGTTCTGAGAGTGTGTCCTGTCTTTGTCTGGCCGACAGGTGCAGTTTCAGAAGGTCCAGCAGCTCCGCCTGAACCAGTCCCGGGTTCAGTACTACGGAGGCTCTCTTCCCAACGTCAACCAGATCAGCAACACCAGCTCCGACTTTCAGGTGAGGACAACAAAGCCCCCATCCAGCTTTCTGACACCCATCCCGGCCTATCAGAGCCTCTACTAAAGATTAAAGTTATTTAACTACTAGTTCTTTCTGTATTTGACTCATTCTGAGTTTGCTCTACATGAAATAATCTGTCTCTTTATCTGTGTGTCTTTCAAATCCATCCGTAAAGACTGTTTAAAAGCAGGTTGTGCGCTCAGAATCAGTCCCCAGATTTAGAAAAGAGTCCCATTTATGACTCTGAGCTCAGCAGTCTTCTGCTTGTAGAAGAGAAAATGGAATAAAAACTGATTTTTTGTTATGTAATCTCTGGTTGCGACGCCCCAATCCCGGCCTATCAGAGCATGTACTAAAGTTTTAAGTTATTTATCTACTTACTTATTGTCAGACTCATGTTGAACAGGGATTTACTCTGATAACAACTAGCCAGCTGAATTAGGGGAGTCTGAATAACACACACTGGTTGGTAAAAAGACACTGACCTGTTTATTTAAATAGACCAAACTATAATTATCAAACAGAAATGGTATCAGTGAACAGTAAAAAGAGCAAATAATATTGTAAACTGTATTAAAAAGTATTGTAAAGGTAAAACACACAAACAACCTGAATAGAAAGTAGTCGGTTAACTCTGTTTTACATCCAGCTCTTCCTCTTTTTCGTCCTTAAAGATAAAATAATCCCACAAAAATTACATTTTTACTGATAGCTTCACATTAACAAGACCGTCTTAATGGTTAGGACACAGGAGATGCTAATGCTAATGCTAAAGGGACCGGATATTAGGGAACAACACAGCAAATTGGAATGGATTCTTTTATTTAATCTTTCTGGACCGATCAGAATCAGAACTACTTGATTAATCCCAGAGGGAAATTATTTAAAAAGGGCCCCTCTCTAAACTAGGAGCCAAGCACAGACGTCCCCTTAGAAAGCTCAGCTCACCTTGAGATCCCAATCTAACCCGCTCAAGGCCTGGCTCTCATTTAGGGGCTTTATCAAGGACAGTTGTGTCTGAGCCCGGCCTCACAGCCAGGTCCAGCTGACAAAACAGACTCCACACGAGTTAAAACTAGAGCTTCCGCCATTAGGCCATCTATGGATATTTTTTCCATCAATTACTATTGTTTATCTGCCATTTTGTGGCCTGTTTGTTTTTCATCTGAGCAAAGGGCTGCTCTGAGGTCAGGTAATTCCCCTCCACACCACTAGGTTCGCTCTTCTTTTGTTATTGTTGGTTCTGGTTTTGAGCCTGATGGGAAAATGTTAGTGGAATCAAGTACTTTTACTATAATGCTTTTATGTTTTTTTTGTAAAATAGAAAATATTCTCACATTTTATTGCACTTTATTTTATTTATTACATTTTATTTTATTTATTCAATATTTTATTTATTTATGTTTACTTTTGACACAGAGTTGACATTTTATGTTTTGGCCCTTGAGTTGCAAAATAAAAAGCTCAAAATTAAGTTAAAAATAAAAACACCTCAAATTAAATGGCAATCCCTTTATTTATTTATTTTTTCATTTTTATTTTTTTGTGGAAATTAGTCATTAAGATTAGTCGACTAAATGCTTTTATATTATTTTTGTAAAATAGAAGACATTCTCCCATTTTATTGCACTTTATTAGATTTATTACATTTTATTTTATTGATTCAATATTTGTTGTTTCCTTTTGACACATAGGTGACATTTAATGTTTTGGCCCTTGAGTTAAGATTAAGTTCAAAATAAGAATAACTCGACTAAATAGAAATCCCTTGTTGTTTTGTTAAATTAGTCATTAAGATGAGTGGACTAATAAAATGAGTGTAAAGATGAATAGTTAGTGGCAGCTCCAGTCCTCCCCGGAGTGAAGAGATCCCCATTTCTGCCGGG